CTCTCGCTGTGTCTCTCCCTGTCAAATAAATAAATAAATTCTTTAAAAAAAAAAAAAGAAAGAAAAGAAAAGGCAGGAACTCTGAACTGAGAGCTTTGGCCTGAGGAACGGGCACAGAATGTTTGGGCAGACCAACACTCACTCGAGCCCAGAATCACCTCCTCCTGGAAGCCCTCCTGCTTCCTCAGTGCCTACACAGTGCAGGCACCTCACGGATGGCTCTGAATGGGTGAATGAATGAGTGAATGAGTGGATATCTGTTGAGCACAGTCAGATGTTGCCACTGGCCGGATGTGTCCAGACTGCAGTGGTTGGAACAGCCGTCACGGGGACAAGGGTGCTTTGAGCAGGGCTGGAGGGACCCATTCCTTGGCCACGCACCAGCCCTCCCTCCCTGGCCAGGCCTGCCCTGGGAAATGCTCAAAGCTCCTGCCCAGCTGTGCCCACCCGCCAGGGCCTGTGCTGTCAGACAGAAGCGGCTGCAGGGGCAGGGGGGTGGAGAGCACCCCCCACCTCGCCAGCCCCCTGCATCCAGGCCCACACATGCGCGGTGGAGGTGGCCGAGGAGGAGAGGGCAGACTCACGATCCCGTTCTGCACGCTGAAGCCCAGCTGGTACTTGAGGTCCGGCCGCTTGATGAGGACCGTGGTGACCGGCGGACAGCTGACAATGTTGAGCTTCACCTGCGTCTGGTTCTTCAGACCCTGCAGGACGGGGCAGGCATCACAGGGAGCCTTGGATGCCACCTACGAGCACAAGCTCACAGGCCCAGACTGAGGGTGAGTCAGCTGGCAGGGCGGGGGCCCTGGGTGCCGGGGAACGGCTCCGGTGGGTCAGCCACCTCTCGGCCTCCACGTCCCTCTGTGCGACCCGTGTGCGGGTGGCTGGCTACCCCGGCTGGGTGGGTGCCGTCTGAGCCAGGTAAAACCACGCACAGCCAGAGGCTGGGCCCTGTGCACCACGGTGCATGACCAATGGGACAGCACCAGGGTCACCCTCAGAGGGTCATGGGAGGGGCCCTCCCCACACTGGATGCAGGAGGAGCACCTTCTGTTTGGAAGGACCACAGGGAAGCCTTCCTCAAAATAAAACGTGTTAATGGCAGGGGTGGGGACGGGGAGCGAGGGGCTCAGTGAAAATCTGTAAGCAAGAGGATCTAGAGTCCACAGCGAGCCTGGGCCAGCTGGAGCCAACAGCGACCTCAGGGTGACCTGTGACTGTCAGCGGGCGCCCCAGGCCACGGTTGTGAGGTGAGGTCCAGGCGGACCAAGCCTCTGGCACCGCGGGCTGAGGCCTTTGTCGTGTCTACCGTCCAGCTTCCCAGGCGGTCACCCGTCAGGCAGATGCTCTGCTGGGCTGGCTCTGGCCCCGAGAATGCCCTTCATCTGTCAGGCTGACAGGCGTGTCCTCCAGCACCAAGACCACAGCAGGGGAGGGGGGAACAAGCCACAGGGGGCTGGGGGCAGGATGCAGACAGAAGGCCCCGGGGCGGCCCCCAAGCAGGCAGAGCCCACTGTCCGGAGACCCTGGACAGAGCAAAGGCACAGTTGTGCTAGGCCTCTTGGAGCGGCCTCTCCGAGCTTTCTGCCCTGAGGCTCTTCTAGAGCTGGGGCAACCAGGCGTGAAGAACCCCCAGCAGGGACCGGCAGCTCAGCATCTCCCAAAGCTGCAAGCTCACAGGCCAGATGGTCAGAGCGGCCTCCCTGCTCTCAGACCCATGCAGGGGCCCACCCTCCCCGTGTGCCCAGAAAACGGGACTCTCGGTGCTAACCTGTGAAATTCCCATGCACACCGGGTCACCCTACATCTGGGGGTCCTCAGCCCTTGCCTGGGGTCCATGTCACTCAGAACTGGCATCAGTGAAACCAAACGTCCCCTTCTCATCCCCAAGGGCAGCCCGGGTCCTTCTCTGATTTCAGTGCTATGGTATGGTCTTGGGTCTCTCTGGACCTGTTTCCTCATGTGTCAAGGGGGAAAGGACAAGGCAGCGAGAATTAAACAAGGCAGGGGCCCCGCGTGCGCACCTTGATGATGCCCTGGCAGGTGGCAAGGGGCAGCCCCACCAGGCTGGTGCCGTTGATGGACATGATCTGGTCCCCGATGCTCAGCTTCCCCGAGCGGGCCGCCGGGCCGCCGTTCATCATATTCGCCAGGATCACCGTGGGCAGGATGGAGCCCCAGCCCGACTCCACCACCACCACGCCCAGGATCTCGCCCTTGTGCTTCTCCAGCTGCAGCTGTAAGGAAATGAGCAGTGAGAGGGGCCCGTGATGGGGGCCGGGGGCCTGCGTGCCTAGCCCCTGGCCTCGCCCAGCTCTGGCTCCCAAGCTGGAACCAGGACCATAGACTCCCTCCCGCCTGTGCCCAGCATGGACCCCTCCAGGCCCAGCACAGCGGCTCCATCGTCCTAGCTCCTGCTGTTCTCACCTCCCACAAACCCATGGAAGCGAGAAGAATGTTAGACTCCAGGGCTCACATCTACCCCCAGCTTTTGCTCTTACCTAGAAGAGTCCTGCCTTCTATCCACCCCAAGGGTCATTCTCTCAGAAAGCTGCCTGTCATTCATTCAGCAAGAAGCCAGGCATATTCATTCATTCATTCATTCATTCATTCATTCATTCATTCATTCAACAAGCAGTCTGATTATTCCTTCATTCACTTCTTTACAAGCAGTCAGGGTATGGGTCGTCTGCAGGGTATCTGCTCCCGTGTCTTAGGAGGACATTCCTGCAGATCCCTGAGCAGCACACACTGGGCCGTGCTCAGGCCTCCACCTCTGGGAGCTTTGAAACTCCCCTGGGCAGCACACCCAAGTCCCCCGTTTGAAGACGCTTCTCAAATGCTTTTCAGAAACACCTCCTGGGTGCTGAGCTCCAGTAGATGATAACAGTGGCATTAAAAGGCACATTTTCAAGGTCATTAAGACTGATTGTAATCAGCTCCTTTGTTACAACAACACCTCATTTCACACCCAAGTGCTCAGCTCCGAAGGCAGGAGCAAATGTACATTCTGGGCAGCACGTCACTGCTGTGAGGATGGGGATCTGCGTGAGGGCCCTTCGAGGGCTCGCTCTCGTGTCCTCTCCCAGGGAGCTGCTCTGGGGCATCGCCGGGCGGCTCTGGTCTGCAGGGGCTCAGCGTGGGTGGCAAAGGCCACTGCAGCGTGGCATCCCGTGACCCGCCCACGATGCACGTGGCTCACCTCCTTGCAGTTCTCGGAGTTGGAGAAGTGGATGAGGTCGTCGTTGTACATCTCCTGGGTGTTGATGATGTCGCTGTACTCCTTCTGGCTCAGGTCTTCGGGGTTGATGCCGTTGGCGCGCAGGAACTCCTGGTAGGCCACGCTGAAGGCCTGGCCGATGGACTGTGCGATCAGCTGGGCCTGTGGGCAGGGAGAAGCCCACTCGTGACCAGCACAAAACCACAGGCGTGCCACACAGTGCAGAGAGGAGGGGCCGTGGCCGGGCTGGGCGCAGGGTGCACACGTAAGTCTGCAGTGGGCCCTTGCCCGGGCTTAAAGGAACAAGAGAGAAACTGTAGGCTCTCCTGTGGGGATAGCTGTCTTCCCGCCAACACCCCACAGTCGGCCGCCACGGGGTGAGCCTCTCTGCTGCTTTGTACCCAGCAGGGCCTGGTCCTGACTGCTCCCGCCAGAGCCGTTTCCATCCCCAACTATCCAGGACAAAGCACAGTTTCAAATAAAGTCTGGGAAAATTATGAATTGTTTGCTAAATAGCCTATCTTTGTTGTTTTAATTGGTGACTACTCTATTTTCTTTCCACCCACCTTACTCCAAAAGTAGACTTGTTCTTGGAGGAGGGTCACAGAGACTCTTAGTTGTCTCCCCAACATTTATGTCTCCTTAGCAACAGAACCCAGTGTCAACCGGGGAGGCAGCATGTGTGTCCAGCTGTTTTTGTGGAGGGAGGGTGGCTGTTCCAGGCTGAGGCTGATGAGAAGCACAAGACCTGGAGACACCAGCACAGACCCTACAGAGCACAGCACCTCTTTCCACTACAGGGAACCACTTGTGTGCACGTTACTGAATCTCCGACACTGCAGAGTCCTGGACATTGAAAAGTCACTGCCAGGCTTCGCCTGTCACCAGCCAGTGTGCAGACAGGGGACGGTTGAGGGGCAAGAGCTAAAGTCCCGAGCTCCCGGAAGGATGCCAAGCACTCTGGCAAGCATGTGGCCCTGGAGAGCAACAGGGCTCCCAGGGGCCTGGCCCCCAGCAGGGCCTCCTCCCCACCCAGCCCTGACTGCGGGAGCCCCGGGGCTGCTCTACCCCCTGCCGCCCCGTGCCTCCCAACAGCCATCAAAGGGGCCTTCTGCATGGGCGCCCCCTGCAAACCTCAGGAGCAGAAAATGGTAAAACCAAGGATTTGACCTAAATGCCTAAATCCCTTCCTCCCTCTACACACTGCATGCTTTAAGTGCTACAAATGAGTATGTCTCTGCACCAAAGCGGGCTGGGCTGGATGATAAAGGCAGAGCCGGAGCATGGAAGGCTTTCCCAAAATAGGTACGGAGTCTGATTGAACTGCCCTCCCACACTGGGCCCGGAAGAGTTTACAGGAAGGACAGGCCGATGTTCACTTGGCAGGAATAAGTCCTGCTCACTCCCAAAGACCAGCATTTTGGCATTTTGGCCACGCCACTTAGGGCGGATTGGCCAGAGCTGCAGTGCCCGGAGGCCACCGGGAGACACCCCGGCCTGGACACGTGTGGACTGGAGGGTGGGGAGCCCAAGGTGGTGCACCGAGGAGCAGCAGAGCAGTAGCCGGGGCCCTGGCTAAAGCTGGGAGTCAGGCCTTGGGAAGAGGCCGGAAGAGGGAGGGGGCAGGGGACGGGACCCCAGGACCTGCCCTGCCCCACTGTGGTCCCAAAGCTTGCTGCCAGCTGTCCCCAGGTCGCCGGGTCTGTCCCCAGCTGACTGTGGTCCCCTGACAGGGAGGAGTTCTGAGAGCATCGCTCCCTTCACCCCTGCATGGATAGCCTGGCGGCATTGCCCGATGCCCTGGGACTCTGCCTGGGCGCCCCACCGCAACCCATAGGAGCTCCTGGGGACAGTGAGGCCATTCATGCTTGGGTTCCTTGGGGTGCAATCCAGGAGCCCTTGGCATCTCCCCCCCAACTGCTGGTGATGGTCTCCCATTTCCCCATCCGCCCTGTGTCCCGGTGTCCCTTCCAGCCGGCCTGGGGGACACACACTGGCAGCCCTGCAGACAAGGGGGCTCCCCTGCCCCCCAGCTCACAGCCAGGGCTGTGGGTGTTCAGTGCTGTGAGGCCAGGAGCCCCGCGCAGGCAGTGGGGAGCACAGGGGGCTCGGAGAGGGGCGGGCGTTGGCAGCTTGGCCCTCAGAGGCGGCCTCCTGCAGGAGGTGAGGCGGGGGAAGGGCAGCTGCCATACCCCAGCACCGCTTTGCCTCAGCACTTTCGCCCGTGTGGCTCATCTACCCTGGCCTCAGCCCGGCTGTGCCTGAGCTCCATTTTATAGAGGGAAACTGAGTCTCAGAAAGAGCCACTGCTATCCTTAATGCCACCTTCCATTTTCTCCGGGTGTTCCGTCTGCTGTCACCAGACCCTCGGATCGCTTACTTGTCCCCAGCAGCCCCCCCCAGACGGAGCCACCATCCAGGTCCTACGCTCTGGGCAGCTTCTGAGGGTCCACCCCTCCGTACCCCACCGGGTGGGTCCTTCCCTCACTCGTTCAAGGGCCATTCAGAGTCCCACTCACGCCCACCTCCGCTGGCCCTCAGCCTTATCTCCCCCTGCATGGAGAACAGGGGGGCCGCAGCAGCACCCCCAGACAGTGGCACCCCTGACTCTAGCCCTCGGCCCGCAGCCATCCGCAGGGGCTGGTACCCTTTGCCACTGGCCTTACCCTGCGCATCACTCACAGCCATTCCCGAGGGCCCATCTCCCCCTACCAGGTCTCTAAGTCAGCCTCATGCCCTGAGTCACACAGAAGTGCCCATCTGGGTGCCCACGGAGATCTGGATCGTGGGGAAAAGAATGTGTGTGTGCACAGCACACACTCTCTTCTCCCATCAATATACCATCGCTTCAAAGCACTTCTAGATGACTTCAACTTCTTAGCAAGAGGCTGACTACCTCCATCCCTCAGTCCTGCCTTCAAATATAAAAATCTGGGGGCCATTCCCTCCTGCTTCAGGTCCCTGCCCTGCAAGTCCGTATGTGAACAAGAATGCCCCTTTCCAAGTATTCACGGAGAAGCGATGGCTTTTCAAAATTCTACTTTGGCAACACCCGCAAGATCTGCCCACCAGGGGGCAGCAGAGAGACCTGGCCCACTGTCCCCTTTGCTCACCACTCAGCCCCCTGCTCCCTTCTCTGGTCCCCTTCTCCCAATTCCAGGCTCAGAAAGATGCTCTCATCCCACTGAAGGAAAGAGTCAAAGGGCTCATGGTCTCTCAGCAAGTCTGGAGTATTTAAATGCCAACATGAAAATGGCCATGAGCAAAAGCAGAGCTGTTCCTCGGGCACAGTTGCCTCCTTGTGCGCAAGCCTGGCATGTGAAAATGTGCATCTTAACCACAGAAAAGTCAGGGAGTAATCTGTTCTAGGAGAAAAAGATTGTGTTAAAGGATTTCTTCAGATAGCGCCCCTGGCCTATTTAACTACGGTTCAATTTATGAACAGCCCTGAAGGACGTATTTCTTTCTTCTTTTTTTTTTTTTTTT